GCAACTGCCCCCTCCCCATCCCCGCCATTTGATAATAAGAAAATGAGACTGAATCTGGAGTGTTATTGTCACTGCTTGGTTTTGTGTTGAGTAGCTTTTTTTTATTTCCCTATTTGATTTCTTTGGTGCTGGATTGTGTCAATGATACTGTTGCTGCTAAGAAGTGACATGTACAGTAAATTTCTTGATTTTTTGGTCCAGTTGCTAGTAGCGTTACATCCTAAAATACACCAGGGTAGTAGATTTATTTTCTTCCACTTTTGATGCAGGCCAAAGTCTGAATTAGATGGGGACACATAACTTTGGTTTAGATATGGTGACCGCTGGTTCAAGATGTCGGTAAATTAAGTGTTGCATTTAAGATTGCTATTTTAAAAAAAATGTTTAAAGGAAAATTCATTGCCTATTAATATTGCCATCAGTTAATGAGTCATTGCATGCTTTAACTAAGCTGAAATGTTATGTAGTTCAGCCTTTTTACTGTGGTGTGGTTAACATTCACATGATGCTGTATTTAGAAACAACTTCTCTTAGCATGAGATACTTCCATCCTAACCCATATAGCCTGAGTGAGGTGGGAGATTGTAACTCATTCAAGTAACTTTGAGAAGATCATTCCTTTTCAAAGGAATGAAGATACGGCTTTTGGTATGCTCATTCAAACGCTTATTTTAATTACAAGAAGGGTTTCATGGTAACTTGGATTCCATGAGATAACTAACTTAATGCACAGATTGTGTAGCCTGGATGGTGTGATGGCGTAAGGAGTGGCTAAACAGATTTAAACATTTCTTATATGTTTATGATTTTCTCCAGTAGTCTAAAATAATTCCTATCTCACATGTTGCAGCTAATATCTGAACTAACTTCAGGATTAGTGAAGTGTAGCTCAAAACATGGTCACTTCCTCAGGAGAGTACAAGTATCTGGAATGGGGGTGAAAGTCACTGGTTTTAATTAGTTGTATCGGACATTTATCATGTTCCTTGCTCAACATTTTCATGTTTAAAATTGCAATATTGGTTCTGTAGTTAGACGTTTTAAAAGAGAGGATACCCAAGCCCCCGTAGACTTTTGTAGCATTACAATTCTGAGAAATCTGTGTAGCTTTTTTGACGTAATAAAGTGCCTTTGTGCTGTTGGCTGGTATTTGAAGACCCTCCATGAAGCCCCTTCCCGGGGATCCCCCTTCCAGCCTACCTACAGCATGTGCTTGCCCGCAGCCCAGAATAGCCGAGCTGACAGCTTCGCGCAGGACACGCTGTCCCGTAGGTGTCAGCGGCTCGGAGCTGGTGTCATGTGAGCTGGGCCATATCTCTTTTCAAAGCTGATATTTTGTTCTTACTTCTTCCTTTGCTTCCAGCTGTAGAGCTTTAAACAAACAGTGACCAAACCCAAATACTCTGCCTAATGCATTCCTGTACACGCTCCTGGCAGCTAGGCCGTTCGGAGCTGTTAATTGCCTTCCCATTGTCTAATCCCTCATGGTAAGTAATCATACCTTGAGATTCCCCGTGATGGCTGGAAAGTTATGGTTCTGTTAGAAATAATGTCCCAGATTTGTGACTCAGGTTCTTGTATTCAGAAATAGCTCTTTTTTGTTTTTGAGCTTTAGTCCTTTCTGAACACAGGATGCAGTAGATACAATGTTTGATCAGTTTTAGACTACAGATATTTCACATCACACTGCCTGGACATGCCTTTTATCTCGAGGCTGTAAAGGTGAAATTTCTGAATTCCTTTGGAGATAAGTGGTGAGAAGTGAGGCTGTCAGTAGCCTGCAGTCCCTAGCAGTGTTTTCTCTGTGCCTGTGGGCTTGGAAGAGAAGGAACATGTGTTACGTTCTCCCTTCCAGTAAACAGCCTTTCTTCAAATCATGAATATTAAAATATTTACAATAGTTCTGGCAGTGTAATGCAGAAATGTCATAGGACAGTTTAATGTTGATATTAAGAGACATAGTTTTATTTTTTAAGTATTCACCTGGTTACTAATAAACCCACAGATTCCCGATACTGAAGGAATCTTAAAATCAAACTTCTTCATACTACTAGCAATCAGCCTTCTCCCACTGGAGTTTCACAGTACTGACTTTGAAAAACTGGTTTTTTTGAGAGGAACACATCTCTTAGCCTGTTTATATGCAGCAGGTACTTCAGCTCTCACAACTCTGGTGAGTGTTTGTTAGAGTGAAAGTTCATTTGCTTTAAGAAACAACAAAAGCCTTTTCTCTGCTTTCTCCCCGGTACTGTGTGTGCACACGTTACAGGAAAGATCTGCCAGATCTAAAGGCTTATTTCACTGACAATTGTTAAAAGACCCAAACCAAACTTGCTACAGAAATTCTTCTCCATCATATTTTCTCCCCCACTCCCCCAAATATTTTAAATACCTTTGTATTTTAAATTAAGAGTTAGTCATTGCCCAAGTGCCAGGCATGCACTATTAATACACTAATGAGGTCAGGTTGAACTCTTTCACTGAGTGATTACTTGCCAAAACTCTTGAAAGAAGTTTCTGCAAATGCTTGCGTTGGCCACTAAATCTTCCCTTGTTGCCACTGGGCTCCTGGTCACTGCTAAGGACAAGCAAGAGTGCGACTCCAAACAACAGATTGCCTGGAGTATGTGTGGGTAATAATAACATTATTAAATAATGTTATTATTAAATAAGCCCCAAAAATCTCCATACAGTCCTTTGTTGGAGAAAGGAAATGAGAGTATTTATTGTTCATGTTCTGTATATGCTCTGAATGTATTTTGAGGATTGACTTTGCTTGGGGCCAGAGCCTGAGCCAAGAACTGGCACAGAGCAAGGAGTGCTGTGATCCACTCTCAAAGTGTCCCCTGAATAGCTGATAAAATTACCAAGATTTGTCCCAGAGTCAGGCTCAGACGTGGCAACACTAATAGTTCAAGTATGGTTTTTGTCTCCTAGAAGGTCTAGTAAATATATTTATGTCCGATCTCCTACACTTCTGCAAACAGAAGGTGTATCTGGAAGGCTTTGGGTCAAAAGCCCATCCGTAACTGCCCCGTTGCTGTTCACTACAGCGTTCCTGAGATCTGTGCACAGCTCTGTGTCAGAGGAGGACTAGTTGATGTGTGCTCACAGTGGTGTCCCAGCACTGGGAATGCCTCAGCTGCCTGCTGGGCAGCTCTTTGCACCTCGGGCACTTTAGGGTGCTGCTGTTTGAAGGTGAGTACACTGTCCTTTAGGTTACTGTGTTATGCTGGCCTGGAACCTGCAGCATCTGAGCCCGTGCTCTGCGGGGAGGGACCTTGCAAGGAGGAAAGCGTGGAAACGGCTTAGAGTGGTCTTGGCATCATGGCTGGAGTTCGTGGGCAGGGGTGGCTCGTCCTGATGCTGAGGCACGGCAGTTGGGCATGCACACTCGGAGGAGCACGGGATTTCTGCACAGTGGCGATGAGCACTTGAGCAGTCGTACCCACACTGCTGGGTGGTGTGCTTGGGTGGTGTTTTCAAATGTCCAGCAACATATATAAACAATGGCAAGTCTGGTACATTCAGTTCAGGAAATGAGTTCCTTTGCCTCATTCAATCATTGTGGGAATTTAACTTTTCAATTTTTTTTCCCTCTCTTTTTTTTTGGCTTTTTTTTTTTTTTTTTAATTCTTAAAAAAATGGAGACTGACTACCACACTTCCAATTCCTTCTAATTGGTTTGTGTTATGGTTGATTATAATCTCTTTTTTGAGCACTCTCACCCAAGTACTTGTGTCTCTTCTTCCTTCCTGTTACCCACAAGCTTTTGCTTGATTTTTATAATACTGTTTAAGATAAAACTGGTCTCATCGTACTATGAAATTATTTGCTTCGAGGTAGACCCAAGATGTGATGTGTAGAAGTTTTATGTTTCAGGTGCTGGATTTCACAGCTCTTCACCAGCTGTGCTACCGGCATAAATGAAGGTTAAATTTTGTTTTGTGTTGTGACTCAGAACTTCACAAACCAGATCTTTGCGCTTAAAAAAGGGAAGGGAGACTGAATGAGTAATTTTAGAATTAAAAGTAAATTTAGAATGACAATGAAGGATCATTGCAAACAGTGATGGTGAATTTATTTTTGCTTCCTTACAGTAAGCTCTGTATCTGATAACTTTTTCTAGATTCTCTTCTCCAATGCTGCATCCTTCTAATTTCTGCAATTTTTGTAGGAAATTCTGCTTGACAACTAAGCTTAGTAATTGCTGCAGGTAAAACTGGAACAAATTAATTAATGGAACTTTTCCTTGTTTGTTTGTTTGTTCCTAGAATGATACTTTGATCTCGCTGAATCTAATACGGTTTCTAGCTACTGCTTCCTGTGGCTTACCAACCTGCATGAAAACTTCTAATTTGGGGGTGGGGAAGAAATAATGTGGGTAAAACTACACTTTTAGGTTGTCTGTGGCCAAAGAAAGCTAACACTGTCTGGTGGGACTTTCTGTCCGTTTTGTTTCACAAATGGAAATGTGCTGACCTTTCTTGAATTGTCCGCTAAGTGTGCGATACCATTGGGGATCATCCCAGTTCAGTAGCAGTAGGGGAAGTAACGCTAGCTGCTCTTACAGTTCACAAAAGCAGTATCTCTTGCAGATAACATGCCACCGACCAAATAAACCCATTTTCTGCTACTTTGCTTGTTATGAAATGATACCAGTAACATTTGTGATACTGGTACTTTGCTTTGGTAATCTGGGGAGAGCGAGGGTAGCTTTGACCTGTTGCTGTGTCCTTTCAGCTTGCAGGTGGCAGCGGGTGCGTTCTGGTCTGCCAGTGCCAGGCTGAGCTCCCCTGGGGCTGCTGGAAGATGAGGGGTTTCTTTCTGTGAGAATTGTATGTGTGAGTCAAGGCGAGGGAAGAAAGGGGAGGAATCGGTTCTTGCTGTCTTGATGTACAACCACGTGTGGGCACACCTCTAGAAAGAGTTTCTAGCTTTCAGTGCTGGCTGGACAGTGATGAGGCTTCTCTCTCTCTTCTTTCTTTTAACTCTAGCAGAGCTGTGAGGCAGAGTTTGGTATGATACCATGGAAGGGCAGCATAACCACCCACATCATCTAGGGGACCAGAACAACCCTCTTTGCAAGCTGCCGGGGCAGGAATACCAGCATGATCCACAGGTAAGCACATGTGTCTCTTTAATCTTTCTCCTCCTGTGTTTTCCTCCCTTCATTTTATAAAGGCCTATAGATTTCTTAGCGTTTAGCCTGTTTTTTTGTGGTTTGGTTTTGTTTTGTTTTGTTTTGTTTTTTTCCATTTTTGCAGTTACAGCAGTTTTAGGGTATATATCCAGTTTGGGATTCTGCCAGTCAGCCAGAGATTCCTGAATCCAGTTTTTTGATAATAAGAGAAAAAGGAAGTAGTTTGAATTTTGCTTAAAGCAAAAATTTTTAAATCATGTTATAAAAACATGTACTGTGTTGGCTTTCTCTTCTCTCTGGTCCTTTGAAGAAAAGGCCAAGTAAAAGCAGTTGATTGTGTAAGTGAATAAATGTATTTTATCTCCTTTTATAGTTTAATAATAAATGCTGAAGAGGTAATTACCAAATACAAGCAAAAGTTCATCTTACATGAAACTGTAGGCTCTCTGACTTCATTTCCTCTGAGTCTCTGGAATCTCTCCCACAATGTATTTTGTCTATACTATTATCACGTTTCACTATAGCCGCTCATATCTCTCTCTTCCCTGCCTTTCCGCACAAGTGGGCTAAAGCTAGGGTTAGACCTGCATTCAAAGTAATCCCGATACCTTCACTGTAATAATGAAACTTGTATTTTGTGAATTCTGGTTGCTTGTCTTTTTTGGACTGACTGTTTATCAGAGCAATTCAGTTTTACCTATATATTTTGAGGACTAAACAAAATGCATCGTAGAAAAGCTGTCAGAAAGAAGACTACTGCAACTGTGGTGTGACTTTACCTTGGGGAGGGGGCTGTGGGTGTTAATTTGCCGTTCCAAACGTGCAGCCCAGTGGTGATCCAGGTTCCCTGAACAAGAAGTGGTCGCTAGGAAGGCTGTATCGAAACAGTGTGGGATTTGCAAAAGCGGTGAGTTGCCTGCACACACAGTACAATGATGAGTGTATCTTATGCAGCACTGCTGGGAAAGCAGCGTTGTATGGAGCAAAGCCCCCCTCTCCTAATGTAGCAATTTGTCATATTAAGTCATTTAATAATAATTGAATCCCCTTGATTAATCTCCTAGAATTAGCCAGTTGCATTTTGAGCAATTAGGGTTAATTACTGCCTCATTTGGCAGGATAGAGCCCCTGTAATTATTTCATGAACAAGATTAGGAAGTGTTCCTGTGCAGCAGATACATTCATGGCTTCTTGGAGCACATGTTAGAATTTGTAATGGCATAGTTAAGTGTAATTAGTAGCTAATAATCTATGTTCTGCTGTTATGCTGATGCTGAGTGGACTCATTTTGCTGTATGGTCATTGTTCAGTGAAACATCCCCTCAGCTCTGTTGATATCCAAGTTGTGTTAACGGAGGTCTCTGCGTATATTAACTGTTATGAGAATGATCTAGTTTGGAATTAGGATTGCAGAAAGACTTCTTTTTGGTTTTGCTGTTAAAATAAAAGTGGAAAAAAAAAAAAAAAAGCACTGAATAACAAAAATACACAGTCTTCCAGAGAAAAATTGTATCTCCTCAGCAAACAGCTTAGAAGTTAACAAAAATTGTACTATTTAGCGGGCAGGCTACCTTACATTGATGGCATGATACGATTGCTTATTACATACTTCTTATTTTCCATTTTGCAGTAATGTAATTATATATAATTTTCAATTTTCTGGTACCTATTACCTGAAAGAATCCAAAATTAGATCATTTCTTCCTTCTGAAGATATAAGTCATGCCGACATGCTATGTAATAGCTTGTGAAAGAGAGAGAGGTTTGGGAAGGAAAAATTGACCAAACTGGTCTTGCAAGAAATGTCATGAATAGCAGGGATAAAAGCTTAGGCAGAAAAAAACAGAACTTGAGCTTTTAGAGTCTTGGATGAGGGAGGATTTTTGTATGGATTGGCCCTCTCTTCCTGCCAGCCCTTTCATTCAAGACTACTGCATCACCCTCAGAAAGACCAGAGCAACAGTGTGTTCCTCTAGCAGAAATTTTTCCTGTGATTGTGCTGCTTTCTAAAGCTTTTTTTTTTTTTTTTTTTAAATTCTGACAGAGACATTATTTCTGTTTTATAACTAGTTAGTATAGAGCTATGAGTAAGTGTATCGGACTTTTCTTTGTCTTTACTATCGTTTAGTAACAAGATGACACTTTTGAGTAATGCTTCATATTTAAAAGTTTTCTAGAGTAAGTGAATATGTAAGTATAAAAAAGTTCCAATAAAATCACAATTTTAGCTTCTGACTCCCTTACCTGCCCAGCAGGTTCATCAGGAAGAGGCAGAACACTTTTCTAGTAATGTTCCAGAGTGAAAGTGTCAATTATTTCAGTCTGTAGATTACCTAACTTTTATTGCTTATTGCTATAAACATTATTTAGGAGTAAATCAGTGATACAAAAATATGAAGCTATAACTTTTATTTAGTTTTCATACTAAATAAACACAATAACTCACTTTTAAACAACCCTTTTATATACTCCCACACCTTGGCGGCAGAGCTGTTTGTGGTAGTTCCAGTTTGGTCTGAGAATTGAAGGTAGATTTGAACCGGTCATCTAGCAGCAAAGACTCTTCAATTTACCGTTTTCTGAAATGCTTAGATCGTTTCTATGTTAATATTAATTTCTTTGTGAGTATCACTTTGGTCTAGTAATTTCAAGCTGGTATTTCTCGTTCCTTGTCACAAGCTAGTACAAATACCTGCTGATAGGTATGTTAAAACTTGGAAATTCAAGACAAGTTCTTCAGCAAACTTTAAATTCTAAACCTAACAGGTCAGGTTAAGGATATTTTATGATGACTGTGTAGTCTGATTTTGAAGCTGCAAATTGAAAAACGTGATGTATTCAATAATTACTTGACTACCTGTTTGAAGGATAATCCATATTTTAAAAGTTTCCTCATCTCTTGTGAGCTTAGAAGTTCTTTTTTTTTAATCAATCTGTTCTAATGCGTTCTCATAAATTCACACTGGAATTTCAGCCTCAAAGTATGCAAAATTCTTTTCAGGTAGGAATTATTGAATGGAGATGGGTGTATAATTTGGGACATCATAAAGTGGTTTGAAACACTGATGTTGATAGTAAATCATTGCTTATAATGTATACATGTTCAACTGGAGGGGATGAAGCCTCCCCATCTACTATTGCAGATGTCTTTTAAAGGTGAAATTAGTTTACAGTAAATGTCATTCAGATGAAGTATGCACTTTAGAAGCAAGGAAACCATTCCTTTAAAATTAATGATGCATTACAAATATCAGAAAAAAACTTATATCCAGCATAAAGATAATTAAAATTCAGGTCAGAAGTGTATGACTTAGTCGGGCTAAATTTTTTAATGAGATTTCAGAAAATTAATTGGGCGAGCATATTTTTACTGTTCTAAAGAATATTTCATTTCATGGCTTTACTGGAAAGATGCTTTTACTGGCATCTAAAGATTGCAGTGTCTGACTTTAACTGTTGGTTAACCAATCTTTAACAATTTTTAGGTTGATTAGAAATAATCTAAATGTCTTGTGACCTTGTAGCCATTTGTGCAGGCTGATGACTATTTCTGCTTTTCCACATGCCAATCAGACAGCACTAAAACGACTGACTTTATTATTAATTAACATTAGCGCTCTGGGTTTATATATTGTGCAATTAGCAGTGAACACTCCCCTTTTTTCAGCTCATTCAGGCTTATTTTTTTCCCTGCCTCTGGGAGAAGCAGTCATACAGGCATTGCTCTGCAGCACATTAGTATTTTACTGATATATTTTTCTTCAGTCTCTCAGTACTCTTTTTTGCCTGAAACATCAGATTAGAGGCTGCAGGAAAGGCTGCTTGGACAGTTTTCTCAGGACTGTTCACATTTTCCTCAGCTTTTAAAGTAATTACAAAGAAGTAAATTTATTGGCCAAACATTAATTGTTCTGGAGATTGAAAGTCTTTCTAGAGAACAGGGTTTTTTTCGTATTATTTCTTAGCCTGAAATACAAATTCTGAGCTTTGCAACTACTCATTTAAAAAAATACAAAAAATGAGTTCAGATTATGTAGCTCTCCCACCTGCATGTGGTTATAGCAGTGTATGAAGAATTTGGAGGAAATTGTTTCAAATCTGCAGTTGTAAATTTTGTCCTGTTTCTATTCTTGCGTGCTCAGAGTGTCGCCTGTGGTCAGGCGCCTCTGGTAGCACTGTAACAGACATCCTCAACAATGTGGAGGCGTAAGTAGAAACTACATCCTGTCACCAGGGAGCAAGTACATAGCAAGGAACTTTTCTAATACTGTCATCCTCTGTATTTGCCTGCGTTGCTTTATAATCTGGTATATAGACTCCTGTTAATCTTTAAGTAAGTTTCTTATCATTGCAGTGTATCTGTTCAGATGCATACAAGATAATATAACTGCAATTTTCATTTCATTGGCTTTTTTTAGCATTACAAAACCTTGTAATACTGTCTTGCAGAAAATCTCATAACACTTCAAAATTTGAGGCTGAAAGTTCTGGCAAACTTCTTTAAGTATTGCGACGAGGGTTGTTCCATACTTTTACAACTTGCATCAAATTTTTGCTCTCACATCAGTGATTACATCTAAAAGAGAAAATGTATGCCAGAGATGTTGTCCAGAATAGCTTGTTCTTGGAATAATCTCCGCATTTCTTAAAAATGAATAGCCTCTTTATTTGAATGAGGAATTAATTGATTTTAATCTTTAGCTTTTTTTTTTTTCTTTTTTTCTGAGTGGAGTAGTAAAAGAATGGGACTTCATTGTGTGGAGAGAGAACAGCCTTTGTCTCAAAACTACTCTTCCCAGACTGTTCCCTTCCTACAGCTGCCCTGGGAACAGAAATGTGCAAGCAGACCAATTTTCGTAGTGTCTTTAGAGGTCCAATGGTTAGAGGGGGTTGTTTTGGTTGTTTTTTTTTTTTTTTTTTTCTCCCATTTTTTCCTTTTTTATTTATTTTTTTAATTAAAGCTTCATCACTGACCATGAAACCTGTTCTGCAGAGACAGTGGCTTGGTTTTACTATAGTCATGCAAACCTGAAGCCTTTACAGAGCCTGAATCTGTCCTGAAAATGAGAAAACTGATGAACAGGTTTGAAGATGATGATGGTGTCTAATTTTACACACAATTTATATCTGTATATGAAAACTCTGAGAGGTGCAGAAATAAAGATCATGATTTATTCGAATGAATAGGTATTGGTTCTTTGACAGCTTCATGAAAAATTGTAGTAGTTGAACATGGAAGGACTTGAAAAAAACTGCATTCCCCTTACCAGAAGTCATGAAATAAGTGAAATGTATGCAAGACCGGACTCCAGGGATGGTATTCTGAGGAGGTAAATATTTCTTAGGTATTCTAAATGTGTCCTTGTAACAGTATTTAGAGGAGTTACCTGGTTACATTTAAGTACAGTAAAGTATAAGAGAAGGTTAATTTTTAAATGGCCGTAGGAGGAAATGAACTTCTATAATCAATAGGGAGCTTTCTGGTACAGTTTGGTCTAACCTGAGCATGCTCTCCGGTTTATACTGCAATCAAACATCTTCTAGCCTGTATGAAAGCTCCATTACTTTAATTAGGTCTGATAGGTTGTGATAGCAAATGCAAATCTAGGTCATTGCATATGCAAATGTGCAGCTGTAGTCCTGGAGGATGCCAGAACATATCAGCTAAGGTGTCCAGTCATCACCCAGCATTAACTCCAGCATGGCAAGCAGACTTTATGTGCTAACCATGTGAAAGTGGTTGGGACACACACATACACCCTGTCACTTGCCTAACATTTATTTGTATTTTCAAGTTAAGAAGTTGCTAGATATTTCTTGGCACATGCTTAAAATATTAATTTACACTTAAACACTCTTGGTTGAAACACACAATTCAGTGATTTATGTAGGGCAAATGGGTACCATCCTTGATTGCAGCCTGGATTTCTTCCTTAAAAAGAAAGTTTTGTGGTAGTTGCTTCATAAAATCTCATTAAAGCTGCTACCTCTATTGTGAATGTTAACTCCATGTTAGAAGAGGTTTTGCTCAAACTTTCTTACTACTCAAGAAAAATGTGGCTCAGGAGGCACGCGTTCACAGTTAAGGAAATGCTTTGATTCTGTTTTTTAATTTGGAAAACGTGGTTTTTAATTTTATATACAGACATGGGTTTTTTTGGCTGGGTAAAGCGATTTGACTGGATATCTCAGTTGATTTGCTTAGTAGCTCATATGTAAGAAGGTTGAGAAATGGAGACGTTCCTGGTTAGTTACCAGTCAAGCTGAACAAATACTTGTGATCAGACATTCTTCTGATGATTTTGTCACACAAAAAATGCACATAAACTAATGTTTCCTTAGCACTCCCTGGAATAAGATTAGTATTCCTGTATTACTGTAATGTATATTGAGTATTAGTACTTATCAAATCCCTGCAAAGAGAGATTGCAACCAATTTAAACTGAGAAAGCTGCAGGGGCTGTTTACATGGAATATTTGCTTGTCTGGTTTCATCCCATGTTGCCTTACTTTGTTGATAATTTAGTAACTGAAAGGGGAATGCATGTAAATAATACAGCACGCTACCTTAAGACTTGCTATTTGTCTGATGACCCACAGGGTACCTTCTTCTTCATCAATGAAAAGATACTCCCCTTTTATTGTGTAGCATACACTGCAAAATGTAGAGAAATTAATCTTCATTTTAATTTTTATTTTGCTGTGTTATAGCTTGTAAACTCAGTGTAACTTCCAGCACAGCACAAGTACTGAGAGTAGCCTTCCTTTGCTTGCTAACCCAGACTTTGATTGCAGCTGATGGCTGCACAGTAAGGTGGGTAGCAGGGCTTCTGTCAGAGTATAGTGGAGAGTAAAGGGAATTTAAAAGGGAAACATTCCCTGAACTGTTCAAAGGAAGTACTTGATGAAATTAACTTCCTGTTTCTGTGTGATTCACCTTCATGAATAACTACAAATTCTAATGCAGCCTTCTTATTTGGGTAGGTTATTGTTCATGAATAAAAATTTTTACTGTGTTTTCTTTAGCCTAGAGAAACAAACCCCCTTTCTCATAGTATGAAAATATTTAAAGGCTCATGGTGATGAATGGAAAAACTTACCTGTGGCCTTGGCATTTCAAAAATAAGTACTTGTGTCGTTTCATCTGAAAAGGAGTGAGTTTGCGCTTTTAGGGAACTTAAACTGAGAGAGCTGATGATCGTGGTGGCCTGGAGTTAAATTTCCAGTTATGTGCCTACTTGAATTAGCAGAAGTTGGCTGCTAAAAACTAAAGTTTGCATTTTTGTCTTCTCTGGAGTCCATAAGCATCTAAGCTTTTCGGTTTAGTAACAGTCCTGTCTTCGTAACTGCAGAGCTTTATCCTCAGTAAGTTCTCAGTGGCTGACCCGGGGCAGTGGTGTGGAAGTGCAGGGCAAGCTCCGGCAGCAAACAGCCTTTCGCTGCCGGAGGGGTGAGCGGGAAGATGACAGCAAAAAGACCTGATAGTCTTTTCACTGTCTGGTTTGTGATTTATATCTGCATCTCTGTATCACCAGCATTTATAAAATGTAATCATTTTTCTTGAGCATGCCTGCGGTAGAGTAGCTTTTCTTGTGGGGTTTTCTCCTGTGTTTGTTTTGAAAAAGATGCTGTAAAGGTGACCGTTTTCAATATCGTTTGTCTCAGTTGATTGATGCAGTTTGTGGGTCAGAAATTACTATTTAGGGTGCTTTATTAGTGAGTCTTCATAAAAACATGGAATTTCACACCTTTGTTTACAAAACCTCTGCCAACTAACTGTGATTGTAGTTCAGAGTTGCAAACACTTTGAAATCTGGGGGCTTTTTCAAATGTCTGATTGATACCTTTTATTGTTTGTTGAATAGTAGTCATTTATATTTCTGTTGCAAAAAAAGAAGTCCAAACTTACTTGTTAAAATAAATATACACTGTAAGAGATCCTCACACTGACTTGCAGTGCTGGCAAAAGGTGCTGGACAGAAAGCTTTACCTGCATTTTAAATCTTACTTCCAGCCCCACCCTTCTGTGTTTGGAAATAAGTGTGATAGCAGTACTCATCTTAAACCATCCAGCTCTCCCGGCCCGCTTGCCCTGGACACTTGTGCTGGGACAGTTTGCTAAAGATTCAGCCGTAAGCGATGGCCGCGTCCCCCAGAAGCCCTCCCCCCCACCTTTTGGTCTGAACTGGTCTTTTTCTAGTTTTCGATGGAAACTCGAAAGCAGCTCAAGATGCTGAAGCTTAAAAATATTCCACTTGGTCTGCGTGGCAACTTTAAGTAATTAATTTTCATAATTTCTTATTTAAACATTGGCTAGCAGTCATGTTAATTACAGAAGAGACCGGAATGGCTCTAGAGAGCCATTCCTAGTCCGTGGAGTGCGGAATCCTCGTTAGGCTGTGTCTACCTGCCTGGCTGGGTATTTACCTGAGACGGCTCTGAAGTAGGCCCCCCGGGTGGCATAAACAGGCAGAGTTGATGAGAGGGTGTGTAACTAGGGAGACAGTAGTTTGAGACTAATTAGTTGCTTACACAGAAGGCAAGACTTTATTTCCTTTTTTAAAAAGTAATTGCACTTAATTCACCCTATGTTACTAATACATTTACTAGGAATTCTTGACCATCAGCAGTGAAAGCAAGGGGGTGTGCGCATTTGGCGATCTTAACTCCCTTCCTTACGTTTTTGGTAGCTGTTACTAGTTTTATGCTTTGGTTTGGTTAATATTTTTACTCAAGTCTCTGCCATTATGTGTGTGTGTGCATGCAGCTGTATACTGCGCTCTTATATTGAGACTGCTCTGGTACGGTATTGTCTGAAGTGGGCAGAGAAAATTGAAGGTGGGAAGAGGAAAGACAGACTACTCCATTGTCCATTGTATGCCAAATCAACACCAAATTTCTTTGTTTTTCTTGCTGGGCAATCCTTACTGTGAGGAATTTATCTTCCTGAATATGCTTAGTTACAGAAACCACTAGTTTGCAGCCATAGAGAAGTCATTGGGAATGCAAATTCATGGTTTTGCTTCACTTTTTCTGATTCATTGATTTAATTTCTTTTGAATTGAACAGAGACATTTAACGTCGTACCCATATCGCTGCACATTGGCAGATTTTCAAATAGAGAAAAAGATTGGACGAGGACAATTCAGCGAAGTTTACAAGGCAACTTGTCTTCTGGACAGAAAACCTGTGGCATTAAAGAAAGTTCAGGTGAGCATTTAAGTTCAAAGTCTTACAGTTTAGCAAATAGAATGGGAATGTTTTAAGTGTATATAGAGATTACTTTGAATCAGATACCTCTTTCAGTATTCTTTTGTCAGCAGTAATAACGCAATAAAATGCTTTATAAATTGAGAGCTTAAGGTTTGAGATCACTGGATGATCTATTTTGATGTTACATTAAAAAAAACCTCCAACAATCTGCTTTCTTATTTTATTCAGTTGGATTTTAGAGGGTGTGGGTTTTTTTTTTACTTCATTATTTCAAGATAAGGAGTAAAGAATAATGCTTCTGAAGGTCTCAAAGCAGTTTTACAAATACTGATTAAGTCAGGCTGGTTCCATGGTGCTCAGCTGACATCTGGATACAGGAGGCCAAGTGGCCCCACTGTGCTCCTGCCTGCCCCTCGGCTGTACGCGCTGTGGCCACCTTTGCCATGTTGCCATATATCCTATACAGGACCCTATTTCCATTTTGAGTGTTGTGTTTGCGCTGCATGGTCCTTGTCATCTTGGAGTGGTCTTATGTTTCTAAATCAGAATTGTGTAGCAGTGGTGCAATTTCATATTTATTTCTAATGTAACTCTTTATAAAAAGGGTTCACTAAATCACAGTTAAATGTGTATGAAAGAACGAGGCCTTAATGGCCATAGTCCTACAGCTTGGAGACTGCCATCTCAACACAGGAACCATGAGAACACGAGCATGAAAGAGAAGAATGCCTGCACTTGCTAATTTTAGAAGAATTTCTGAAAAACTTTCATGCAAGTAGAATAGATTTTTAACTTGGCTTAAAGTATTGTGCAGTGTTCAGAACAGCATTTCGTTTGAAGAAAATTGCCTTTAATCCTTGAAGAGATCCTTTAAACTCTTGTTTCTGGTGACTTACTCTCTGATTATTACAGAATGAATATTAATGCTCAATATTATTGTTAATTATTACAGAGAAATATCTATATATGTTTTTTAAAAAAATAAACGTTTTATCTTTCTTTACCATGTGAAATTAATAGTAACTAAACTAACTGTGTTTTGAGAATCATGACAGCAAATTCACAAACTAATATCTTTGTTTTTCATGCTGCTAAGATTATTGCCTACAGGTTCTAAAATTAATTTTACCCTATCACTAGCCCTTCAATAGTTTCAAAATAAAGAAAACATTGCTCTTTCTTTGATTTGGGGTTTGTGTGTATACTCATTGCAGTAAAGGATATACAGATTGGGAGAGGAAAGACCCAATTTCTTGTTAAAATACAGAGTTCTGTTGTTTCATTTTCATCTTCTGTGTTTTTGTCTTTGAAGATTTTTGAAATGATGGATGCCAAGGCTAGGCAAGATTGCATTAAAGAAATTGACCTCTTGAAGGTAAGAATTTTTACAATTACTATTTCCATTTTTTGATTTGCAAGAAAAACTGGTTTCAGGTTGGCAACAGTCGCTTGCTTGTTATGGCAAATAAAGCTTATATAGCACATACAATGATCTTAATAGACCGTGCTTTCTTTTGCAAGCTAGTATGCCTACATGATGCAGGAGTTTTGTCTTAAAGCTTAACTTTTCTGAGTTTTCTGCATATAGTCAAAGGAATCTATTAAAAAATCTTTCTGCCTTAAAAAGCCCACAAGTACTTCTCTTTGAGAGAGGCATGTAAATTCTGCCCTTTATGTGGTTGGATTTGTTTGTTACTTTAATGAATTAGCTAAATGAGAAGACAGTTTTGCATCTGCATGTCATGTATCTATATGTATACATAGCACATGAAAAAATGCTACTTTAGATAAAGGCTCTGAAACCAGGGAGTGTTTAAGTGATTAAACTAGCTAGTGATTTTTTTTTTTTAATGCCTTGGTGATTTATTTCAAAATGTTGGTAGAAAAAAAAAAATATATATGCATTGCACTTTAAATATCTATTTTGAGTAAATGCAACAGATTGTAGAAGGCTAAAATTTTAGTTTAGATAGTCAAATTTAATTCTAAAAGTATTAAATAATTTTATAAATATGATTTTAGGTATTTCTACTTAAAGTGTCAATTTATACTTACGCAGTTGTAGACAAAGCCTGAGTCTGCTGGAGTGTAGTGAAAGCACACAGGATAAACATGAAGATAGTAGTTTGTGTGAATGTGATCCAGTTGCTGAACAGTCGTGGAGAAAAATAATGCCAACATTAGCATTCCAAAAGAGAATTCGTGATATTGTGGGGTTCTAGATAATATAAACGGTTTTGTCTTGATCTCTGATTATGGAAGATGTCATAAATTTGCACTGGGTTTATTCAGAGCAGAATGTGCAAATTTATGAGTTTCAGAGGAAACTGAAAATAAAATACTCGTGATGCCAGGAGGCTCTAGAAGGTCAGCTCATGTCCACCTGTGTGGGATGACCAGAGGCAACTCATCTTCCTGGGTAAAGCTCACCAAGAAGTCAGGAATCCCACCAGGGTTCCCACAGTGGCCGAGTTGTGAAAGCACGTACGATAGCTGGGCTACACAGGGCTTCCCTATCCACTGCTGAAGGCATTTCAGTTCTATCTTACTCTCCCCACTCTAATGCCATCACCAAAGCTGTCTAGTCAAGCTGTGGCGGTATTGGAAGACTGATTCGGCTCCTTTTAAAGTCAAACACTGTTGTATCTGTCCCAGAGCCAGTGTATTTAAGTTTAAAACCTCTGTTTGTCCGGAATTAAGCACTATCTGTGCGTGTTTTGAAGTCTTTGGTGATTGTCTTCCGAGCAGAGTAGCACGTTTGCCATGCTTACAACTTCTTGTCTGTGATTTTTGTAAACGGTAGCTGGAGCTCTCTGGAGGGAGTGAGTTTCCATTATACCAACAGAGTGCAGTTCTGCTTTGAAAAATACTGGTTGATAAAATTGGATTGGTTTGCGCGATATTTTATAGAAGAGTAGAAATCATTCCAGTAAATTCATTTAGTTGGGGGTGAATGGAGGAGCAGGAGTAGTTGCTGTCAGTCTACAGAAACATACCAATATGCTGTTTATTATGCAAAACATTACTGTGCTGGTAGCTTAATTATTTATTGTTGAATGTCAACCTGTCTTTGTACTTGGACAGCTGTGTAGGGCCATCCAAGGAATCTGAAGTTTGAGTATGTTCAAAAATCAGTTTTATGAATCCTGTTGTATTACAGGTGCAAAGGAGAGACATTACTTAATACTCTCTATAGTTCATTTCTTTTAAATGACTACTAATTTTCAACTCTGAGCCAACAAAATCCATTGAATTTTGTCCAAGATGCATGTAGCTCAGCTTCTGAGATCAGCAGATAATAAGTAAAAAGTACCCAGTTGAAGTTACCAGTGTGGGAGCAGTGCTGCTGGCGCTGGGTCTGCAGGCCGGGCAGTGTCAGTGTGTCAGCAGCGGGACTGCACGTCACGCCGTGCCCCGAGACCACTAACTGGGCAGATCAATACAGCTGCAGCTCATCGTTTGCTGACTGATGGCTCCCATGCTGCCTGTTCTCACAGCTTCAGAGAAATAACTAGAGGCCTGTGTGCGGATGTGCTGGGACAGCCATGACAAGTCCTGTTTCAAAACTCCAGAGCTGCTTCATCAGAGCAGGACACAGGTCCCTTCTCAGGGCTGGGCAGTAGCTGTCACCATTTATGCAGCACGGGACAGAGTAGTCCATGCCTGGAAAAAGTTTTAAAAGTGAGGCTTCAGTTCTTGCTGCAGAGTACCTGTGGTCTCTAGCCTGGCTTTTTACAAAACTTCATGGGGTTTCTTGTTCTGTTGTGAATTTTTCACATTTTGGTTTCCTTTAGAATCGTGTCTGTGCAGCTTCGGGAAAGTAGGACAAGTGTATTTTTCTCAAATGACTTTCAGTAATTTCAATTTCAGCATTTTAGTGGCATTGTATTCTAAGATAAAATACACTTCACTTCCTATGTTTATCAATGAAGGTAGTTGTTTTTGTCTCTAGGAAGTGTAAAGTGTGTGAGGACCCAATTGAGCACAGTATTTCAGAGTGGGTTTAAATCTTGTTCAACTTTTTTTCATCACTGTTGATGTGAAGTACATGCTTGCCTTGCAGTTGTATAGTGTCTGGGCATGTAATATGGGATATTAATATTTTTAAAACTTTCTTGCTACTTTTAAATTCTGGTGTCTAGTACGAAGCATTTATAGACTATTACTAAAACAACTTGCTGTAAGAGCTTTTCTTTCTTTTTGTTGTTTTTATTTTTAATGTAGACCATTGAGGAATTTGTGAAGGAATTGCGTAGACTTGATGTAATCTATTCCTTTCAAAATAATATTTTGTCCTTTTTGATCAAAGACTTCAATGTAACTATGGAAACAAAGGGGTTTTTTCTGATTTGTTGAGTGAATTATAATTATTCAAAATTTAATAGAAGCCAGACAAAATTGTACATTTCTTTCAGTGTAATTCTGTCTAAAAGGTTTAGGTAAAGCAGCTCAATAATATGGCTGTAATCAAATCAGCATTTGGGCTGCCAGCACCCACACTCACTCATTTAGAGGTGGCTTACCCTTCCACGTGCCTCTTGCTGGCAGTGCTGCTGTGCATACACATCAGGCATTAACTGCCATCATACTTTTTGGATGCATTAAAGAAATGGGAAATGTCATTAACCCAAGATAAAGTGTTTGCAATGTTTTGTGCATTTTGAGGATTTGTGAGAATTAATATACTTTCATTCTGACAAAAGAAAATTCAGGTAGCCTTTTCTGTGCCACATGAATATACAGTAGTGATAAAAAAAAAAAACAACCAACCAACCAAAAAAAACCCTAGAGCCAGTATATTTATTTAAAATATGTTTGACAAAATGAAGAGTAGAGAATGGAAGTTTGGCTTATCTAGAGTGGTCTACCTAGCTTTTCTGGGAAAAAAAGAGTTCAAAGGTCAGTGGATTGTAGAAAAAATGTATACCCCTGTATTCACACTTCTGAAAGGTCGTGGGCAGTCTCCCGTGTTTTCCAGCAGAGTTTAGTAAGGCTCCTGCTTGAGTCATCCCTCTGCTGAGCTTCAGCAGAGCACAGTGTCAGCTGCTGAACGGGGAGTCCTCGGAGATCTGCTCATCAAAAGAGCTACCACAGAAGTTACCACGGGTGTTTGGTTTGTTTGCTTTTAATTCTATACAACTTCATCGTAATAAAAGAAACATGCCTCTTTAATGAGTTTCTTTAAATCAAAACAAACCATTGGTAAAAAATGCGTACAGTCTCACAAAAAAGATATTTCAATTCTTTGTATCAGTGAAGCAATGCTTGGGTCTGAGTAAGTTGGGCTTTGTTATACACAATAAACTATGTATAGGCTGGAGTGCAGGACAGGGAAAATGTTGGTGTAGTAGCTCTCCCAGCGGTGTGTGGTCTTCATTCCCTGTTACAGTTGTAGTATTTTGATGTGTTTTATTGGCACGTAGTGCTGAGGCTTAGAAAAAGGCTTGTTTGACTGCTTGAACTCCCTGATGCCATTGGGAACTCAGGAGAGAGTTCCCACAGAGCATCCTACAGAGGACAGAAAACATCTCTTTAAATCCTAGACCTAGCTGTACCCCCAAGAGCAGCGTGCGGTACCGGGGCAGTGGGTCTGCCCTCACAGACTGCGTGCGATGATGTGGGGGAAAGGCACCTTGATGGTGTTGGGGGCTGTTGGCGCTTCTTTTGCTGGAAGTTGATCTTTGTACCCGAGAGCAGACATTTAAAAGAAATTTCAACAGAAATGGTGGGCCGTGATATTTATTTATTTAGGCTTGGGCTTGCGGGAATGTTCTTCTCTTGATGCCTGCACATGGATCCCATTAACGCTAATGTGTGCTAGTGTCAAGGCATTGCAAAGGAGAATCTATCCCCTAATGTGCATGCAGAGAGGAGTGATTAGCATGATGGATCATAACAGTGTTTCTTTTGGCTTTGTAACCCCTGGAATAGACAGATTGAGTCACAGCTGTTTAGTAGATGAAATGCTCACTTTAGTAGTTTCTAAATTTACTGCATTTCTAAGAGCACAAGAGAAAGATAATCTAAAGCAAGATGAGCAGGGGAGAATGAATAGAGATGTAGACACTACATTATCTCCTAAGCAGTTACCGTTTTCCACTTTAGGAAATTCTGACATAAAATATTAAAATGGAAATTTTAGTTTCTTGAGCCTGTTTCTTAATTTAGTCCTGCGAGTGAAGTGTAACAATCTGAGAAGATGCAAGTTTTTACGAAACGTAGAAGGAAAAAAAAAATAATTAAAGTATCAGTTGTGAATATAAGAAGCTGCTATACAGAAATGAAAAAAAGTAATTGGTGAAGATGCAAGCATAAATAATCAGATAAATAAACTGACGTATGCAATTTGTGCATTATTTTCCTTCATCAAAGTTTTAATTTAATTCTGTTGTGATGCTGAGGGGCAAAGAGACCTCAAGGAGTACTATAAGCAACAGTTGGGTTTTTTGCTTATATACAATGGGGAAAAAAGTCAGTTACTGCTTAACAAAGCTTCTTTCAGGACATTGCTTTTAAATACTTTGTGAGTTTACAATAGAAAAGGTGGTTTCACACTGTTTTGGGCAATATTGCTCTTAAGACACTTTTATTATGCTGTGCTTGCAGTAAATGATATTTCTCACAGGATTTTTGTCTGTAATAACTCAGAGCACAGTTTGTAGTTTCACCTATTGTAAACTGGTTTGCATAATGACTACGAAAGCAGTACGGGTGTTGTAGCTTGGAGTTGTCATTACTACAGCATTGTAAGTTGTCTTGCATCCTCTCTATCTGCAGCAACTGAACCACCCCAATATAATTAAGTATTTGGATTCTTTTATTGAAGACAATGAGCTAAACATAGTCCTGGAACTGGCCGACGCTGGTGATCTCTCTCAGATGATTAAGGTAAGGCTGCATCTGCTCTAGAGGTGCTACAAACTTTCAGGTTTGGGCAGAGACAGGAGGTGGTGGGGTCAGCACATCTGTGCTAGAAGGACTTTTATTCTCTTCTTGCAGTTTTGCATACCCACAGGGTGCTTCCAGAGCCTGAACCGCAGTGTCTGGGGGTGTCTTAAATACACGGGGCGAAGCCGCTTCCTCCCGGCCGCTGCTTCGGAAGGGAGCAAGCCTCTGTGTGATTCGGTGGGACGTATGTGTTATTTGCAAGGCTGATTTATCCAGTCTGTGATTGATGAGGACATTTAATTATTGTTAGATTCACTATTCGCATAGCCTGTCTGCCACTCTGAAGACATTCAAGAAAGTGTATTGACTTTCTTTGCAATGGGGATTTGGGTTTGAGAAAATGTTTCAAGTACTTGTTCTTCTTTTATGTTGCTCTTAGGAATACTTGTATTGCTGCAAACCAGCTTTAGTTAAGCTGTTACCACCTGCTTTTATATTTTCTTTGACATGTTAATCTTTAGACATACATCCCTTGTGAGAACAGATGTGTTATATCATGTTTGTTAGCACTCTCAACCTTCTCTACATGTTTTACCTGATTTTTGCCATCATTATTCTGTAATTATCATAAATGAATGTTTGGAAAGTTCTCCTCCTCCTTGTTGTCACAGTTAAAATATCTTATTAACAGATTTGTTTTCTTTGCCAGCAGAGCTATGAGGCACTAGGCCAAAGGCTGTCAAACAAGTTCTCCATTTAGTCCATAGTCAACGGCTAAATTTACAGTATCCATGCAAATCTGCTCCATCTCACAGGAGGGTCCCCCTGGGCGAGCGAGCTGGGAACAGGCAGTTGGCAGAGCTGTTCCTGGGGAGAGCCCCGGAATTCCAGCCACGGCCTCGCTCTGCGGCCGCTCCACAGCGGGAGCGACGGGGGATCTGCCCCGCAGCCCAGGGACGAGCCGGGGGGGCAAGGGCGGCCGCCGCCCTCGGGGCCTTGGTTGTGGAGACAGAGCTCGTCCTTCTGCCTGTGGAGAGCTCGGGTGTATTTTTATCTTTCAGTTTTCTTGTGGCTTCTTGTGTGTTTTACCCTTTTCCCAACAGATCCTGGGAAACTTGCAGTTTATCTCAGGCTTTTTGTAGTTGTGGTTAAAGATGGGGAAAAAGTGAGGATCGTGAGAGCAAGAGTTAGGGCTGTGATTATCCTGGGGTGTGCAAGTTTTTTTTGCTTTGATTTTTAAATCTTAGCTTATAAAAAGTTTTACCTATGTAATTGTGAGATACCAGAATAGAAAATATTTGCTTTTTTTTTGTCACTTACAGTTTTTAGTTTAAAACATTCCCTACTGATAAATGTTAATTTACCTGTCAGGGCTGGTTATTTAATTTTTTTAAATTACTTTTTCTGTCATTATAAATAGGAGGTAGATTTTCCAGAACACAATTTGTAGATTCTTAGGTTGATGACTTGAACAGCACTTTAACTTGCATTCTCCCTTCCAGCACTCTCCAGTCTGGCCTGTTTTCTCACGTGTTTATCACAGGCATGAAGATGATGCACTAGGTTTTTTCAAGGTCATACAAATGATGTTTTTCCATTGGTGCAAATCTTAGAATTCCATTTTTTTTTTTTAGTAGAGGAAAAAAAAACCCCTAAAACCAAGAGAGAACAAAAGTCTCCTCCTAAATTTATTTTTAACTGCAGAAGAGGAGTTTGCCTGCCCGCCCCTCTGTGTCACCCCCACTCCCCAGCCGTCCCTTGGGACTTCAAGCTTATTATGTGAGGATTTTCAGTTTTGCGAGGCGGTAGGAACAGCCGTAACAACACTCTGAAGGTGCGAGTGTGATAAAAACAGGGACTGTCTTTGTCACGCCCCTGGTGCCTGCATTATTTATGAGGTATTGTAAAGCTGATGTAAGAGAGTGCTGCAGGATAACCCACTGGAGAATTGGGACTTTCTTGTAAATGTCAGACGAACCTTATTGGACATGACATTTAGAAAATTATCACTTGTGGTCTTGCATATCCACTCTTAAATACTTTAATGAGAATTAAATAATTTTATCATGTATATAACACTTTATCCCTCACCCTCTGTAATTCCTCTGTGCTCTCTTATCAAGTTTTGGTTTGAAACTGTTGCAATCTGTCAGATTTGCTGCTTGGGGAATTGCACGGTCATGCCCCTTCACAGCTGATCTGCAAAAGAAAATTTGCCGTTACTTGAGTCAAACACGAACCAGTAACAGCATTTCACATAAACTATAAAACGTGACAACGGACATCAGATGTCTGTACTGAGAGGAAAAAGCACAAATGCAAAAAGGGGCAACAGCCAATTCCCTTCCTTTATTCTTGCTCTTGCATGCTGCTGCTGGGAATCCTCGAGGGTACGATGCAAAGGAAATGCAGTTGTAGTGTGCTAGAAGGGTGTACAGTGTTTCAGAGATAGTCATTATCCAGTGACACCTTGTATATCAAAGGATGAGGATAAATCTTAAAGCTCTGGAAGCGTGTTATAAGTGTATTTTATTAATGCTCTGGATGAAGAACTGGCTCGGTATCTAGCACAGGAAGAAGCAATGAGAAGTCAGGGACCAATAATCCAAAGTAGTGCAATTTTGGGATGCCTTGGAGGAGGCGATCACGCTTTGCGTGTGAGGTACACGGCGGTTGTGCATTTCTGAAATGGAAAAAGAGTAGTTGAAGGTAGATAATGCTTAGCCTTCACTGAAGTGTGCAGCTGGTTATTTATTCCTGTAATAAGTTGCTCAGAAAGAAGACTTCAGTATTCCAGAGAACAGTCGTGCTGTGCTCCTTCGTATTGTGTGCATTATGCTTACGATATTTTTATTTGAGAGCTATTGGAGTCCAGAGGTCCACTGAACCCGGCCTCGGCTATGCTTGGTGCTGCACAAATACACACAAAACAGACTTTTCCCAGATCTGTGTGTCTCTTGATCAGCAGCGTCTTTCAGTCTCACTAGAGATAGTTCAGTTAATTTAGTATTCCTATTATGCATGAAATAGAATATATTATTCTACCTGATCACAGAAGGAACACAGATACTTTATTGATGCTCTGACCATCTTTTAAAAAGGGGAAACAGATTACCTTATTGTCCTTAATAGACTGTACAATAATGAATGTTTACAAGATTTTTTTTTTTAATGATCTTTTGTTACTTAAGGCAAAATATTTGAGACGTTTGTTGTTTTGAGGCATCAAATATGTTTTGCAAGGTAATTAAGGAGATTAATGCTAATTATAATTGGTGTCCATTCAAAAATGTCAAACCTATTTAAGCATATTTTTCATAATAGTTGTTAATCAGTGAACTGCACTGAAGTTTACCTAGAGAGAGGAGGAGTTAAAAGCTAATCAGAAGAAAAGTCATGCTGCTGCCGATCTAGAAGACATGAGCAACCTGCAGCTGAGTACCGCAAGTCCAGGAACGAGTCAATTACGTTGCTTTCTCACTGATCTTTTATTTATTTCCTCCCACAGTATTTTAAAAAGCAGAAACGGTTAATCCCAGAAAGGACGGTGTGGAAATATTTTGTGCAGTTATGCAGTGCAGTTGAACACATGCATTCCCGCAGGGTGATGCACAGAGGTAACATTAATTCAGTCTCTTTTCACTGAATAATAATATAATGTTCCAATTAGTAAGCGCCTACATTCAAAAACAATTATGCTGATGTTCAGCCAATGCATGTTTAGAGAGGCTGGAGCTTGCAAGATGGATTTCTCCTTCTGTCTCTTTGCCTCATTGTTAAAGGATTCAGTCCGAAGTGAGTGTGGTATTAGGAAGATGAGCTGCTTTGTATTCCAGACACTGATATTAAGTAGAAGTGTCAAACTTGCCATTAGAAAAGTGTCAGAAGTAAAATGCTGAGACTACTGGATACAGCGAACTCTAAGAACTGGTCTTCATTATATTAGCTGTGACCTTAAAGAGTTTAGAAGAGTTTTTCTGTCTTGCAAGCTTTTCTGAAGTACTAACACAAATACGTCCCACACTCTCATGAGCTGTTCTCTTTTTTCATTAATTATTTTTGAATCTCTTCTCTTAGAACTTTCCATGGCTTTGAGCTCTGTCCAGAAATTACATTGCTGCTTTCAGCGTAAATGAAATGCTTTGTGAAGGACTTGACCCAGGAAATGCAAATATCCCAAAGAGCACCAATACCAATCTCTTGCTTGCTATTTCCTTTTTCCCTTGAAGTAGTGAATTCTTCACTATTTCCTTCAGCAGTGTGGTACTTTATACGTCCGCTGATGCAGTTTGTCAGTTGTATGTGAATTAAGTCCGTAATTGGTGGCTGAAATTAGGAGCCTCGCACATTCAGTCTGCTTTAACATGAGGAAAGAGCTTCACTAGCTCAATCCTGACATGACTGCTTGGGAAACTGGGGTTCTAGTAATTTTTGCACTCCGTTGAACAAACTGGGCTGTATAGAGCCCAGAACTTATGTCTGTGTGGGACAGTAATTAACCCTTGGTGTGAGAGGATGATGGTGGGCAGTACAAGCTTTCTGTAGAAAACAATCATTTCTAAAGAGAAGCAGACTTATTTTTTTGATTTCCATCAGTTAAAGAGGATGCCTCTATTCTGTTGTGCTGTTTCTTGCATTTCCCCTCACTGGTATTTCTTGTGCACTGGGAAGTACACTCTGATTTTTGTGTATGTACAGAGCTTGAAGTCTTAGAAGATTCAGCCTATCAAAGCTGTAAAGAAACATGGTTCTGCTCGAGCCTCTTTTGTACAGAGACTGCTTCAGGCTATGCTTCTATTGCAGTAGTAGAACCAAATAACCTTTTGTGGCTTTGACCTTTTACCTTTTTGTTCTTGCAGACATAAAACCAGCCAACGTGTTTATAACAGCCACAGGGGTGGTGAAGCTGGGAGATCTTGGATTAGGCCGTTTTTTTAGTTCTAAAACCACTGCAGCACATTCCTTAGGTAAGATGGTACTTGGAGATGTAAAGCAAGCACTGCTGTATGGTTGTCAGCTGGGATGTTCAAAAGAAGTGGTGTCTGTCCTCTTACTATGACAGAAGCTTGATTTGGTGGATGCATACCATATTTTCTGTGATATATATATATATATATATATCTTAAATATTCTTCATATGACATTAATAGGTATTTTTTGTTTTAAAACTCTACTTGATATTTTTTTCTGGAAGATCTGGCCTGGTAAGTGTGTGATTTATAGCAAATGTAACAAATGCAGCTTTTCCACTCTAAATAGCATGTTTGCCTGCACTCTGCTTACTGGAATTAAATGTACGTCACCACCATTTTTAGCAGATGCTGGTCAGCCATCTTACCCTGAGCAGGGGTTGTGACTGTTACCTGAGTTGAGGGAAGTATTCAGAGCCCTCGTGGTTCACCTGTTCCAAAAAAGGGACTTCACTTGAAACTCACCTTTGGCTCTAAAGATCCAAGTTTTCTTAATGTCTTCCATGTGTCTCAAGGCTGTTTTTCTGCTCTTCTGTTGGTGCAGCTAATTGTTCTTGCCAAAGCGTAGCACCTTGCTTTTATTTCTGCTGAGTTGTATCCCGTTTCCAGGCTCCTACTTGTGATCACTCAGAATTTTTATTCTGTACTCTGCTGTGCTTTGGGTCATCCCAGCTTCTCGCTATCCACAAAGGCAGTAGCGTCACCACAGTCCCCGTGTTAATGCATGTTTTGAACAGAACTAGAGCTATTGGCTCTTTTGCAGGACTTCAAGTGAAGTAGCCTTCTACTTTGACGGTGAACTGCTTTTCCAACCAATTTTGCAGCCATCAAATAGTTCCATTTAGACAGATTTAACAGTTTGTTTATAAGTAGAGTTATATAAGCCTCTGATAAAAGCCCTAAAGTTGTATTACATCTGTTACTTCTGTTTTCCTCCCTCTGAAGCCTCTTACTTCATCATTTGTCATGATGTTTTGTGGACCAGTCATAATGATGATTTGTTTCTTGTTCTTTTCCCTGTGTTTTACAAGTAAGATGATTATACCTCCAGCATTTTTCTGGGAATTGAAATTGAGTTCACTGGTTTAGACCATCAGGGTTCCTCGCTCCCTCATCTTTACCGTTAGCGTTGGTTACAATGCTGTAGAACAGTGTACAGCATATACGGTTCATTCCTTAAGTCTTACAGTGTGAAGTATTCCATAATTGTGTCTGTAACCTCTTGAGATGTGGTTGGTTTTTCCATTTTTATTAATGAGTCTCAATTTTTTTGAGTCACAAAGGTACTTCTGTGTTACAGCTGTGAAGGAACTTTGGCTTTTACTGCAGTATTTAAACTCTTTTACACTGAGCTCTCACAGCTGATTTTGGAACACATTTGTTTCACTATTTGTCTTTGTAGTTTCCTTCACTGAGTGTGAGTCTTGCTCAATTATTTCTTACATGTGTACAAATTTAATTGATGATACTTGTCAACAATGCTGGTGCTTCTCAGTACACAAGAAAGGAAGACAAGTGCCTTTGTGCTTAAAAAAAATTAGGCATTTCTACAGTTTACTTTCATAAAATATTAGATTTCCCTTTGCATCAAAAGCTATTCTAGGATATATATACTCACTACACTTAATCAATTTAAAATAAATCCTCTTCAGAGAAAGTTACAATCGCATCATCTGAATAGGCAAAAATATGATCATGTCTAATTATATGATCTTATCTTGTTTGACTGCTGCACTTAAATTAATAAGAATAAATTGGGGCTTGAAAACTGGCTGCACATGTAAGCCAAGCTTGTGACCTTTACCAGAGTTGCGCTCTCTTAATTGAGAGAGCTCATGTAGGAAGAGTTGAGCCTCTTCTGCAGGAACCTTGCCCTTCCTCAAATCAACAGCATCCTGGAAGCAGGCAAGTAAGGTGCAAAACACTAAGGGAGCAGCAGTGAGTGATACTGAAGACAGCATGTTGTGTTGTGGGAGGGATGGACACGCCACCATTTCCAGTGATTCTTGTATCCAAGTAAAAAGAACATTTTAACAATCAAAAAATATGCAGACTTGAAGCTGCTTTTTTGTTGTTTTTTTTGGTAATTTGCCAGACATACAGGTTTTGTAGCAGCAGGAAATCTACTGATCTTGGTTTTGGTTTAATTAAGACATTTGTTTAAGTAGCTGTGAGTGATGAACACCCTGCAAACCAGAGTGTGGTACCCGCGCGGACCCAGGCTGTGATGCCGGGCACTTCCCGTAGCCGCGTTGCCCTGGCAACCACCCTGAACCATCATTTCTCTGGCTGCTGACCCATGAATTGAACGTGCGGCTTATGCAAATATATTCATCTAATTTTTTTTTTCCTTTCATTGTATTTGCTAGCATCAGACTGGCATAAAAGGGCATTAGGCAGTACCACGACCCGTCTGACAGGTGTACCACCGGGCTGCGGCAGCGCGGCCGCCGCTGTGTCAGGAATGGGAGCCGTAATTAGAGCAAAGAACAGAATGAACGTCAGATGAATTACCAGGCAGCAGATCATATTTGTCAGGAAGGATTGCATACATAAAAATTAAGTGACAGTACACGCCGGGGTAATGAAAGAAAAATGAAAGATTTGCCCATACACAGCTCGTGAGATGCAGGCGAGCGCCTTGCTCGGAGCGACGGCAGGATGCCCGCCCAGGATGGGGAGCATCGCCGGGGCAGGGAAGGCTCCAGCCCCTGGAAAACCTCCGTGGACAGACCTGTGAGAGGGGAAACGTGGACACGTCCCATCTCACTAAGTAGCAAAACTGCCTTGGGAAAGGCAGCAGTGTGGCGGGAGGGGTGATCAGCACCAGGCAGCAGCCGGGGGCTGGGGGGGAATTCACCAGGCAGCACCTCTTGTGCCGCTTCCCCTTTCCCTGTAGGACTTGAGAGAGAAGATGGGACATACTTTTCCATAGGGGAGAGCTCTTCATGCACAAGCTCTACCAGAAAACTCCCGTGTTTTAAAGGTAACGAGTGTAGCTAAGGTGAATTTTATTACTGCTTGTTACAACACAGTGGCTAATTGTCCTTCCTTCCCTAATTTAAGCTCCCCTGTAGCAGAAGCTCCAGGATTCAGTTTAATGGAGATGGACTTCTGTATCGCAGAAACTTTGTTTTACTGGGGGGCATAGGAGGGAGTGGGGGGGCAATTCAGCATGAAGTGAGAAGGAATGCTTTTTTCTTTTTTTTTTTTTTTTCCTTTTCAGTACTGCTTACTATTTTCTTGAAAAACTTTTAGAGCCTGTTCTTTTGCAGTTCATAATGCAAGCATTTTACTACATCTGTAGTCTTTTTTTCTTTCATTTGTATGGTTATATTTTTTCCCCGCCAGGAGCTATATGATATCTGTTTGACAGACTATTTCCCTACAGAAAATGACTATACTTAAGCCAGAGCTTTGCACCCAGTAATGATGAAATGACATCTGGATGCTGGAGTTTGGGTGTGACACCATGCACTTTGTGTTGCTTTTATAGTAGTGGTGTGTGATGTGCTTCCAGGTGTCGTCTTTTTCATTCAAGATTTAATAGGGCTAGCAGTATTTTTTTGGCTGTTTTTAATGTTTGATTGTGTCCATTATTTATTCTGTTGATCTCTGAGGTGGGTATCTAGAGGAATACCTTGTCAGTTAAGGCTATTCTAATATGTTTGTTGGAAAGTTTAAGTTGTTAACTTTGCTACAAAACCTAATTGGTTATAAGACAAAAATGATAAATAGCAGCTCATATTTACAAATTGCATAGACTTTAGAAAGCTGCATAGGCTTTGGAAAACTTAACAGTAAGCTGGTAGACATTGTTTTACTATGAGCTGTAATAAGTACAGATAATTGCCATTAATATTAAAATGGATAACTGTGGTGTGAACTGGTATAATGCCCATTTTTAGCCAGATAAACTTGGCATTATCCAAAGCTCTGATTGGCGTTACGTTTTGAAGAAAAAAACAAACAAACAAACAAAAAAAAAAACACAAAAAACCCAAACAATCCCAAACCCCCAAAAAACCCCAGTTTTACACAGAATAGTCTTGTTCTGGAGCAGATGATTTATTGCTTTTCCTTGGACAAGAATAAACTTGGAGCAGACTTTCCTTTTGGGGATGCATATAAGTCAAAGCTTCCCAGTTTAGAACATGCAAATAGTCGTGGATTGGAGTACGTGGGGTGTTACACGTTCCTTCTGGTTTCTTGTTGGATAGAAGGGCAAACAGGGCGTAACTGCAATCACGAGAAGGGCTCTTTTGTAGGTGGACTATTTGTCTTTTTTCTTTTCTCTTTTGCTTGCCAAGCCAGTTTGCCATCTGAAGCAAAATCACAGTATTTCAGGGGGCTAGTAAGCAGTACTTGTTAAGAAAAAATGGACACAAGAAATCCACTGAAAATTTCAACCGCCAATATTGTGTGCAGTTTGAGAAATGATGGCCTTTTGGTCTGTGCCTGTAGTACAGTATTTGTGAAAGAAAAGATTGCTGCAGGATTAGGGCAGGTATATTGTATTACCTACATGTAAAAAAGAAAACCAAACAAAACATACACACACCCTTCCCCCCAAGAAAAACCCAAGACAACAAACTATGAGGACTTTGGTAGGGTTGTATATATAATTAAATACTAATAAGAAAGAAAGAGAGAGCTTAGAGCAACAGGTCTTGTAAAAACAGCTGCAATATTATGCACAAAATATTTATTCTCTTTTGTAAGAATAAATAGATTTAATCTTTTCTTTTCCTTTTTCCCCCCCTTGAAACAATTGGAGGGGGGTACCTCACACTGAGATTTGAAGGAATTTAAAGTAGAGCCTTTGACATCTCTTTCACTTCAGCTGATTCTCAAAAGTTGAGCTAATTCCCAAATTCTCCTTTTGGGATAAGACCTCAGCCTTCTTGTTGGAAATACACTCCAAGTGATGCAAACATTTACAAACAGATACTAACAAACTAGACTTCTTTTAAATAATGCTGTAAATTTTTCTTGAT